TTAAAAGCAGACTGTATTTAATTAAAAACAGAATTAAGTTACCCCATACACTATTTCTTGAAATCAAGTCTTCTAGTCAAATTTCAATTATTCAAATTATGTCTTATTGGGTCCACAAATCAAATAGTCATAAGTATGTAGCAATAGCCTGCATTTTCAAAAAATATTTACCACCCAAATTTGCAGCAGAGAATTTTGACAAGAATGTTCCAGAAGCAAATTCTGGGCTATTTGGGTAAAAGAGAAAGCAGGAGAGAGGGAGAAAGGGAGAAAGAGTCCTTAAAAAATAAGATAATTTTACCTGCACTGATTCCCTCTTCTCTGAATCTCGGTGGCCAGCTGTCCAACTTCATGGGGCTCCTCCGTGAATAAATGCCCCATTGCAACTACCAACAATGAAAAGTACTGGACCTTTCATCATTTTTAATAAGTGCTGTTTTCCTCTTCCAAGGATGGAGGCATCCATAAAAAAGACAACAGCACTTTGCAAAACAGTTCGTTTCAGAAACAGTCACCTGACCTTTTCCCTTGACTTTAAGCTAGCAATAAAACTGGCTGAGCTAACTAGCCTTAATGAGGGAGAGAAAAAGAAAACAGCGGCTCCTTTACTTTCCTCCGTCTAATTATAAATATCATTGTCAACCGACTCCAGGATCAGCTGAATTCTCATTGACCTCCAACACTGTACAGTGAAAGATAGTCAGAACTGCCAAACTAAATATAAGAAAGATAAATAAACTGTAATTAGAGACTTAACTCCTAGCTCCCCAATTTGTGTTTTTGAAATCTTGCTCGTAATTGCAACACTTGTTTAAAAGTTAATTTTTCAGGCAGATCTTATAAATGGGTCCCTCTGACTCTATCAGCAAATCACTGACTTCTGCGATGTAAAATAGAGATTTCTATTAGATAAATTATTCCAAGACAGGAGCTCCTAAAAGGACAAATTGATTGCATCACAATATGTTCTGATTAGTGTCTTTCGGAGCTTTTGTCAAATATGAGATGTAAATGCGCACATGCAAGGTTTCAGATACCATCGTTTTTGCTTAGGTGGGGTTTTATTTGCTTTGGAAAGTGGGGGAGACGCTTCACAAGTAGAGGAGGGAGTTATCCTGAAGTCTGAGCTGTAGAATGTTTATTCTAAAGTGAGCTGTACCACATTCAATGGAGATGGATGTTTATTTTGTTCCTTAATATATTTATTTAACATTATTTATCCCAGTCCTCAGCCAAAAAAGGTCCCAGAAAATTTTGTATGGAGTTAAGAAAAGAAAGTGCTCCCTGTCCACAGAGTTACAATCTCCAGTCAATCAACCTTTATTTGCTTACCATGAATGCCAGTCTGATCCCTGAGTCCCTTCTCCACATTCCTCCCCCTAATGAGATAAAGGGGGAGGTGGCAAAGGGAAGGGCCTTTTCCGCAGTAGCACCCCTTTATTGGAACTCTCTTCAATCAGAGATCCGAATGGTGTGGCCTCTTCATTTTTTGGGCACCAATGAAATGCTTTTGCCATTACTTTAGTCGGTGAGCCCTTCATCTATGGTTTTAATGGCTTTATGTTGCTAATTGCAGCTGCCTGCAGCAGATATTATCTTTTGCATTTTATTTAATTTTGCTTAAATTTATCAAGATTTTAAATAGTTTAACTTCTTGATTGTTTAATTTTATTTATTTTGTATAATTTTGTTATTTTTTATTATTGATTTTATTTGTACAGGTTTTTTACATTATATGTTGTTTAAATGTATTGTGCATTATGTAATGTTTTAATCATTGCTGAAATATGTGTGTGCTGCCCAGCAAATTTATGGCCGAGAGGGCAGCATACAAGTCTAATAATTGAAGAAAATAAATACGAAAGATGCTTTGAAAACAGGAGAGAAGGGGGAAGCTTGGCAAAAGTTTACAATGTAAGAGAAAATGTGCAATCTAAGATAAGAGATATGAGGGGAAATGAATGGGGGGAACTGAGAGGGGCTTTCAGCAGGGCTGGTGTAATAATGCTCCATTTCCTGCCAAAGTGCTGTCTTGACAACTCCAGCACCACAAACGCCAATGCATTGCATCCCAAAGCCTCCAGGCCTCCGGGCTCGGCACTTTTTGTAGCTTCCACAATCCAGTCAGAAGAACTTGGGCTTTGGGTGGAGAATGGAATTACTTCAGCAAAAAGTTTCAGGGAAGAAGCACCTATCCTGCTCCCGATATGCTGACCAGATATATGCTATCTAATGAGTGAATATTCTCTTCAGCGACACCAGCTCCCTGCTGAAGCCTGCAGGATATTGCAGCTCCTTCTTGCATTCTTGCCCACCTCTCCATGATGTTAGCTATAGTGAGATGCCTCATAGCACCATCGTGTCATGTATTTTCCTGCACCACACCACTGGCCTCCACTGGGGATAAGAAACCATACGGAAAATCATAGGAATACTTATGGGGAGGGACGGGGACGGGGATGGGGAGAGGGAGAAGGGTTATTTGACATAAAGGGTTATTTTCAAGAGATGCCCCCTAGGCAGCATTATGTCTACTTGTCCTCCAATTCAGCATTTTCTCAAAGTGCCAGTTCTTTAAGTATATACAGTTTCAGAGCAGAGTTACGCATAACTGTGTCTTTGATGGGATTTGTTCAGGAGCTCCCAGGTACCAATCCTAATTATACCGAACATGTCACTTTACCTGTAAATGCAAACAGTTGAACTTGGAAAAACTTGCGCATTGTGCTCTTACAACACTGAACAGTACAATCCTAAACATGTCTACTCAGCAGTAAGTCCTACTGAGTTCAGTAGGGTATAGGATTGCACCTGAGGGCTACTGTCTCATGCACCTGACCTGGGAGTAAGCCCCCCCCGCCCCCCCCCCCACACACACACACATGCTTTGGGACTTATGTCTAGCTAACATAGAAAAGGTTGGGTTGTAAAATTCAAGTTTCTGAATGTGCTTTGCTCTCTCAGTATGTACAAATGCACACCTCAAGTGTCTATTTCTGCTGTTTTTATTTATTGCACTTAAAATACATGCAGCTAAACAGCGAGAATAGAAGAGGCATGAAATTTATGCTTTGTACATATGCTGAATATCATGGCAGGATGCACCCTATTGCATAGATTTGGGTCTGATGTAAGAATTCCAGAAACCACTTTCTGTTAACTTTAGATATGTTGTAAGCCTCCCCGAGGTTTCGGCAAGGGGCAGCATAGAAATGTTATAATAATAATAATAATAATAATAATAATAATAATGTGCGTATGTGACTAGCTAGGTTTAACCTGACAAATGAACAGATATACACCCAAACATGCACACATTTAAAAAGCAAGAGATCACAAATGTATGAAGCTAAAGCAATAAAGGATTGTTGGGTATAGGTTAAATAACATGCAACTTTATTTGACAAGGCATGGCAACTCTACAAATACTGGTAAACATACCAAAGCAAATAAGAAATGAGATAAAAGGGAAATAATCTGATTTAAGAATAGAATCAGCTCAGATCACAGACTTCTCATGGATAAAAAATCAGCTACAGATGTCAAACCTACTGCTATTGTTTTAAAAATGTAATTTGTTTTGTTCATTTCTAAGCACAGATTTCTCACATTCATTTTGGACACATTTAGATTACATTACTGGAAATTGGTTCCCAATTATTATACACTGTGAAAAAGCAAAATCCTCACCATCCCCAGCCCCTGGAACCCTAATTCCAAAGGATACGTCACATTTTATTTCCTTTTGGACTCAAAACTCTGTCCCCGTTTTTCTGCTTCTGTGCATTATGATCATAGATAAGGCAGAAACAAAAGCACAGAGATGAAAATAGTGCCTTCAGTGCACCAAAATATGTAGAACTAGAGTTTGCTATTGTCTGCTGTTCCATTGTTCTGTAAGGCAAATGCATCCAAGTCAAGTCCATCCAAGATTTAAACACCAGTTTTTCATCTCTAAACGAGACATTTCTTTTCACGAATGTTGCTTCCTAAAGGGATGATTAGATCCCCACTTCAGAAAGAAGGAAGAAAAGAAGCACCGACAGCTCGAAAGAAAATGTTTATGGGCACGTGAGGTTTCTTCTCTTTCTTGCTGTAAGACACTGTGATGTTTTAAGCATATACCTAGTGCTTTCTTACACATGCTGAGTAACCAGGCTAATTAAAAAGCCCATACAGCTCTTGTTAAAATCTGTTCAAATTTTGGAGCACCTGTTATAACAGAATGCCCACAGACTTGATAGTTTAGAGCCAAGACACCTGCTACCTTATGTCTCACAGTATGTTCAGTTTTAGACTGATAGCTGGGAGGGGGGAACCCACTTTTTGACATTTAACAATCTCTTAAAATGATAAGGAATTAATCAGAGAACTTGCGGAATTTAACTCTTCTGTGATCACTTCTCTTGATCACACCTTTGTGTTTTGTTTCCTCCATGAGAAGGCAAGATAGACAGTGGATAACCTTCCAGATTTCAGCTGATACAGGCACATTTCTGCAGGTTGGCATCAGGAAGCATAACCCTCCATACTGTTTGGATAATGACGGGACCATCTATTTAATATGTGGGGCATGTACAGTTTACTTTCTCTAAAGAAGAAATTTGCTCTGTTCTTGGAAAGCCTGCATTTCCAAACATTCCAGCTATTCACAAAAATTTTATACACCTCCCTTAATTATGGTCACCTTTTTCAAATACCCAGTTAATATATTCAGTGATGGTGGGGCAGAGGAATTATGTTGCACAGTCCAATTGCTTGCTTGTTCACTATAAAGTGTCCTTGAAGTAGTTTTACTTCCACGAAAGTGGGCATAAAATTGCAGCCTTAGAAGGTATCATTGCATTAGCAAATGTGGACACAGTACCCAAAATAGATAAATATTAAGAAGACAGTGGATGGACTGATCCCAGGGTTGATAAGCCAGAATTGTAAAAATAGAAAGGGAAATACTGGTCTAATTATGACAAATTTTCTCTCTCTCTCTCCTCCTTTGACAGGACCCGGAAGTTTGCAGCAGCCTTTTGGGGTTCAGGGTACTAGAGGTCTGGCACCAGCATGATCATTTTTCCAGTGCCATATCAAGACCATCTTCTACGCCCAGGCATTTTACAGCATACAATAAGGTGCTCTTTTCACAGGTCCTTGAATCTTTATCCTTGATTGTGTGAAATTGTTGCAGTGTGTGTGTTTATATTATGCTCTCTGTGCTTTTATACTGTTCTACTATGAATATTGTAAGCAAAGCTTTCTTTTTAATCTTTGTAAGCCACTCAGCAAAGCTTTGGCTCTTGGGCAGAATGGAAATGCAAAGAATGAATAAATGAATGAAGGGCTCTGCATGGCCAGAGAGCTCATTAGCAGTTTTATCCTGATCTTTCAGGTGGCTCAGCAGGTATAGAAACGGGACTAGTTACATGACCCTCTGAAATGTCTTCCGTGTCCTTTGTTTTTATGTTACTTCACCTGTTATACGAGGATTGACCATGATTCGGAGGAGCACGCAAATAGTTCTGTGTGCTCAGTGGGGGACATTGGCTTGGGCTTCTCGGACAAAAGCCCATAAAATCACCATGGGAAATTGTTTTGGAAGTTGAAGGGAGCTTTTAATGTGGTGTGTTATAGCACAGGGAGAATCTTCTGTTCAACTCAAGGGAAGGCGCCAGGATCGATGCTGGCCGGGTTCAAACCCTTGAGTGTGCTAAGATAGCCCTTAGGATCTATTACATTGACCCTCCCGAACCTGGTTCCCGGCAGTTGTTTTGGAGCTTAGCTTTACTTCCATCTGCCCAATTTGGTTTGCCTGTTAGGACTGTATGCACGCATGGCAACTTATATGCAATACACTAACCCACTGTTAAAGTGTCTTAGATGTTACCTGTGAACACACAGCCTTCCCCCAGCTGGCATTCTCTAAATGTACAATCCCCCACCATGCTGGCTGAGGCTGTTGACTGCTGCAGTCCGAACTCCTGGACTTCCAAGAGTCAGACGGCTGCTTTGCAATATAGTACCTAACTTCTAATACATCAGAATAAAGGAAATATGGAAGTTTTCAGCGCATCTCACCCTCACCCAGAAGTGTCTAACATTTAAGCTGGAAAAACTAATTGCATTCATACACTAAAAGTTCTTGCAAGTGCTGGGAAGTGTTAGTTGTGGGAATTGGGAGAGACAGATATATACTTTGTATTAATTTGATTTTGAGACAAATCTCAACAAGCAAGCAGGTGATAAGCCTTTGTTAATGCCGTTGGGATAAAATACTGCAGCTCTGGATTACTGTTGATAAACAGATTTTGGAATTAATTAGTTGTGCATAATTATCCAAACCATCAGTCTTTCAAACTGAATACAATCACTTTTCGTGCATTTGTTTATATGGCATTTTTCCATCCACAGAAATAGATGCTGTTATGGCTGTGAGACGGGAACCACAAACGTCCGTGTCCACATGTTCAAGCCCCTGCCCTGGCTGGCTCTCTCGTCAGCTGCACAGGGTTGTAGCTCAGAAGCAGAACACCCGCTTTGCATGCAAGAGGTCCCTTGTCTGATCCCAGCCGGTGCAGATACTGCCGAGCCTGTTGGGGCTAGGCAGCTTTTGTGGGGAGGAGAGACACGTGGCCCCTTCAAGGTGGCTGGACTGCAACACCTCCCATCTCTCACCACTGGCTTTGCCGGTTGATGGGTGCTGCAGTCGCATGACATCCAGGGGGCTCCAGGCTCCATACCACACTGTTAAGACACGGGGTTTCTTAATCCCGCTGGGTCAAACCACTCTGTTGCTGTGATTCTGGTGGAATGCGCATATGCTTCTCGCCCTTTCCCTCCTGGTCGTGGATCCAAACCCATCTCTTCCTGTGGCTTTTGCTCAGCTGCTTCTGCCACCCCCTGCTGTCCAAAGGTCTACTATTCCCGAAATGACTCCACCCGTTTCCCCGGCTGTCCTTTCTGCCCTTCAGCCCCTCCCTCAACCCACATTTTCTAGAACTGTATTCATTCATCGCATACCCGTGCCATTCAATAGCTGAAGTTTTTGGCTGGAAAAGTGGGCCGCTCCAGTGGCGATGCCTTGGCTGTGGAGTATCCTCAGGGAGGCTCTCCCAGCACCTCCACTGCGGCCCCTTTTAGTTTTCCTGGTTAGTATAGTCCTTCAGCTTTTGCTCTTTTTAAACCTGCTATTGTATTTTGAGATCTTTGCATTGCTGCTGGCTTTACCTTTGGCTTCATATCGTAGTTTTCCACTCCTGAAATTTCCCTGTGTATCTCCTGCTGTGAGCTGCTCGGGAGCTTCAGCAAGTGGACAGTGTGAAAATGTCCTCAGTGGCTGTTTTATTACTGAATTGGTTTTTCTAATGCGGATGTATAGTTGTGCACTGGGTTGAGATGAATAAAGAAATATCTGCAGAGAAGCAGAAACTGGGCAGGCAGTTTCTTTTGCACACAAGATGTCCTGTGGTGCAGGAAGTTAGGTTACTGGATTCTGTTACCGCAGAGTCTCTAACGTGAGACTCCTGAAATCTCAATGATGATGCCAGTTTGCACGAGATGGTGGCAAGAATGCAAGACATGATCAGTGTTGTCTCGCCATATAAACCCAGAACATAGATCAGCAGGACAACCGCATGTAAAGACTGGACAACCACGTGTTGGGGATTACATGAGCGGAGCTGGCTGGAGCCGGGAGTCAGACTAAATGGCCTTGGAGGCCCCTTCTGACGTGCTTTGTTTCTATGTTAGAAACAACTATTTTTGTTTCCAAGATATCCCAATCCAAGCACATGTGGCTACTTGTGCATAACCAAAAAGAGTTGTCAGAAGGGTGTACATTTTTTTTTTTTGCCCTTAGTATCACAACTGCACATACTAAGCTATATATTGGGATGTGAGTGCAGAAATAATTACGACCGTTTCAATAGAAATGCAGTGGCCAGGTGAACTGTGAGCCTCGCTCGGTCTGCTCTCCAGGTGCTGCTGCTGGGCATCCTCAAGGCCCGGCCATTCCTTCCAGTGGGTCTTCATCTTGATACTGGGCTTGGCCTGGGAAGTCCATCAAATGGATTCCTTTGAAACAGTCTTCTGGCAATCCATCAAACAGATGTGCCTCCTTTTTTTCTGCATGGCTCCCTCATGGTCCGCCAGTGGAGGCCCAGATCCAGCTCCGCCATATGCTAGGCAGAAACACCCTGTTCCAGGCAGCTTCCTGAGGGTGGAAAGAGACAGAAGCAGGAGTTCATGTCTGAATGGTGCAGCAGGACCTTTTAAAGCAGCCATCCCCAGCCTTCTGCCCAAGGCTTAAAGGGGGGCATATCTTAAATCAAAATGTAACAATATTATTAACCTACCAATTTAGATCCAAAGTACACATTCAGAGGTCAATGAAGAAATGTTAACCTGAATGCAGTCCATTTTGGTACAATATTTTAATGTGGAACCTTTTTATCCAGCTATTGTGTGTTTTTAAGAAAGGGACAGGAAAAACATCAGTACATCGTGCTGCTTGAGGCAGGAAGACCGGTGTGGGCCTGGAGGGTGAGAGCAGTAAACAAGCAGGTTGGAGGGCCGCACAGGAAGAGCTTGGGGGCTGCATGCAGGTTGGGGACCCCCCACTCTAGTGGGCAAGATGCTATTTGGGTATCAAATCAGGGACAATTCTACGATCCACATTTCTGGAATGAAATCATGGGTTAATAGGAATGCTTTATGAACCAAATTTCTTGGAGGATTGTGCACAGAATATAACGTTCTCTGCCATTTCTTGGAACCTGACAGTTGCAAAGCAAGTGTTTATGGATTTAATTGAAGGACAAAAATTCTTCCCGAAAGGTAGAGACTTGTGCGCTTCTATGGCAAACCTCAGCTTTCAAGGTAAGCTCGTACATGATGCTTTTTGAACATTAGCCATACCCCTTCTGAATCGCTGAGTCAAAATGCATTAGCTGCATTTTAATCCATACCCATTTAGCAAATGGTCACAGTTACAGGTGTCTCCTTTAAACGTCTCTTCACAACCCACTCCTGTCACTGACACAACCAGGTGAGGTGGTCGACCCAGAGAGGGCCGCGTCCAGATGAGATGCCACAGTGATGTGTGTGAACGGGGCGTTGATGGAGGTAGGTGAGTGCTGAGACCGTGGGTGGTGTTTGTGGGTACACTGTGAGTATCGCTGTGTGTCATTCGCATCTCTATTTAGCTCCTGATAATTATTTTTAGAGTGTTTTTGCGTGAGCGTGTGGGAGAACATGCCAGCAGCTCCCACCCTGTGCTGATTGAAGCCCCCACCATTCAGGCGTAGGGTCAATTCCAGGCTGAAAACCGTTCCCCACCCCTGCTCCAAAATGCCTTTAGAAAAGTGTCCAAGGCTCGAAAAACACCGAATAAAGTTTTCTAAAACAATGATTACAATTGACCCAGATCACGATGTCTCCTTACCAATTCTTCTTCCGTTGTTCTTTTGGCCATTGCCTCCATAAGCCAAGGAGACCTCCTGAGGACAGGCAGCATGCGAGTCCTTTAGGTGCCGGTGCCTGTTCCTTTCCTCAAAGACGGGCTGATGGGGACACTTGGCTGGATCAGTTTGCAGGTTGTCATTGGTGCAGCACATGCCTTTGGTACTGGAGGGCTGTTGCCTTGAAAACTGGCACTGCGGTAAATCACCCGGAGAGCTTTGGCTATTGGGCTGTGGAGAAGTAAAGGAAATAGCAGCCATCAGCAATAACCTGAAAAGAGCAGTGAAACCAACCAACATGTGGGACCGGGCCACAAAGCTCTGTCTCCTTGCTCCTGGGGCTGCCTCCACTTATTCCGCACGCACTGCATTTCCCGTGAGGCTGAGCATGACGGTACTCAGTGTGGCGGGCAGAGGTCAGTGCCTGTGGATCGTATCAGGCCATCCCCCCTCCCCCCCCCCCCCCCATTTTTAATAGCTATGCTATTAAGGAGAAGTGCTCGGTCAGGCAGTCACCACTACCCCCTTCCTTTTCAATTTAATGTATGCCACTTCATTTGTGCAACTGAGAAACTTTTAACACAATTGCATACTTAGGAGCAGATTATTGAAAGCTGTGGGACTAAACAGAGCCACTGATGTGCATAGATCTACCCTGAGGCATGGATCTACCCAGG